ACGTTTCGACTTCGTAACCTCACCGTTTTGATGCAATTGTTTTCTCTTGCGGGAACGCCCGATGAACACTATCAATATAATTAACAAGAGGAATGCGCAGGCCAGCGGAACTCCTATCAGTAAAATCTTGTTCCCTTTGGTTATTTCTTCACCTGAAAATGACCAAATAATAAACGTGTTATTCTCTGTGTGCTAAAAGACTAATGTTAAGAGACAATGGGGCTGACATCTCTAGGGTAGCCTTCGTTGCAGGTGCAAACGGAGAAATAACACGGGAGGCGAAAAACGCCCGTTCCTCCCCCCCCCCNTCCGCACTCCTCCGTACCCGCCTGCTACACAGGTTACGCTAGGGGAACGTAACAGGAGAGAAAATGCGACATTTTTTTATGGGATCAATGCAACACGTGTCCCATTCTCCCTAGGAAGCCCTCAAAGGTAATGATTAGTTTTTAAGTTTAGGCTAATCTTGGTTACAGCAAGCGGCATATATACATTGCACTAGGTGCGCCTCGGACATTCAACCAAGTTTACTCGAAGCACTTGAGCACAACTTACCTGTACCAACCGAATCAGCTTCTGACGTGGATTGATGAGAGTGATCACCCGGCATAGAAGACACTGAAGAAACAGATGATCGCCTGATAGCTGTTTCACCCGGTGAACGAGTCGATGTTTTAGCGTAGGGATCTGTCGGCAAGACATGTACGAAAAAAAAAGAAAGAAATTTTCACGTCAGCAAACACTGCATTTCTCAGCCGTTGGATCGTTTATTAATAGTTCAAGCCGGCTGTATCTCGTTAGCAAACAGCTTACCCTGGAAATGCTTACTATTCCCTTTGTTCCTGCCTGCAACAAAGGAAGTCGTAGACGCCGTAGGCAAAGCTACATCCACCATATCTACTATAGAGTGCAGCGGGTAAGAAGAATGCTTATGCATATCGATTAGACTTCGATGTTAGCATTATTTAACAATTAGATTATGAGTTCGAGATTTCTTTTGTGTGATAGTTGACGATGGCGCAGCCCTTGTCAACTATCACGTGTAGTAATCGAGAGCGAATAATCTAATTGCTTTAGTATAAATCTACTAGTCGTTCAAAACTCTATCTAAATACTCTACACAGACACTTCGAAAAAGCCAAGAAGCGGCCGTAATTATGTTAACAAGCGCGCACTACGCTACTCACTATCTATTACAGAATAGGTAGTGAGTAGCGTATCCAATCAGAGAGCGGCATTCGTGATAGAAGTTAGTAGATTTGTACTAATTAAAAGGGATTAGAAGAAAGTAAATGAGTCAGCCTGGAAATGAGCTCTACCAACCTGTTGTATTACCAGGGGCTTCAGTGGACACACTCTCTACTGTGCCAATTGTCTTTACGCTCGCTGTTCGAGAGGTGCTGTGTGGCTTTTCAGAAACTGTTGTGCAAGAATAAAAATCAGATATTAAGCAGGTTAAAATAGTACCTTGCTTCCTTACTCTTCTTCGAAGCACACGCCACATAAGGAGGTTTGTTTTGTTTTGTTTTGCTTTTTACAGTTTAGTTATCCTGCAGAACAGCCAGTTCAGCACAGTACACGACAGCGCTGCCCCGCTAAAACGCTTGATCTAAAGACAGCAGTTTAGTCTATGGATAGATCTTGGCAACATTTTCTAACCAATGACTTCGTTTGTTTCAGACCGGTTAAGGCGTTTGCAAACGCTAAGGAAGAAAACTTTGCGATAATTGTTATTGTTTGTTTCGTTGGCGTGCCTGTCGATTTGGCAGTCGAAAAAGCTTAATTTTGAAATAAGAAACGAAACGAAAAAGTGCCATGTCAATTTAAATTTGATTTGGAATCCTGAAGCTTTAACGAGCTTCATTCCAAACAGTTTCATTTCAGGTCCAATTCGATCATTTGCATGGGTGGGAGAACTGGAGGCGAGGTTATGGTTGCACTTCGCGAAACATGATTTTTGCGCCATGAAATTTGGAAGTAAATAAAGCTCTGAGCCGGACAGGATTATAAGAAAACCTATATGGATGAGTAAGCGAATAAAGTAAAGAAAATAACCTGTTGTTAGCTTTTGTGTAGTAACCTTTCTTGTAGTAGTGATAAACTGGCCTGAAAACAAAAAACATGGTGCACATCAGTAGCTAGATGACAAGTGAGATTAATTTTCTGTAACTGACGTTTCATCAAAATTTACACCATATAAACATTGATCGAGAGACAATTACAGCGTTCGGCTTGTAGCATTTTAACAAAAAAAAACCCTCTTGCATCAATAAGTTATCGTCAAATCAGCGACGTTCTTAAGGGATCCGAGATATTTCACCCCAAAAATCTAATATGTTTTAAAAAATTTCGCGCGCAACAACCATTTCTTACTGACACACTACACGGATCTGTCCGAAGCGAAGTCATCGGTATGGAATGTTTACCACTTGAAGTCCATTCCAGAGCAACAGGCGGATAAACTGCCGATACCGTTTCAACAATCTTCTTTTGAGCAGATTTATCCATTTTGTAAGCTTACATTTAGTTTTCTTTCCGGCGTTAGTTTTTTTTTTTTTTTCATCGTATCATTTAAAACAGCGCATAGACTCTTTCGCTGTTGTTTGCAATAATTTTGATTAAATTAAAGGGAAAACGTTATAATTCGTGTTGTTTAAATGGTTTTCTTCTCCATTTGAAGATGTCACACGTCGTGCAAACGAGCTTACTGAACAAGGAGTGAGAAATTTTGCCGGCGGCGAAGACTTAATCAGTGCCACACTTCTGACTGTTTCAGGCGTATCAGTTCGACATAAAAAATTCCGATTCAAATGGAGGTTAATATTGCGGTGCTTAGTCATCAAAACTTCAGCTATTGTTCAGTGTTCTTCAGTCTATCTGGAGCCGGTTGATTTTATCCTATTTGCATTAATTTCGGATTTTTTTTTTTTATCGGCCTACGTATTGCGGTTTTGACTGGAATTTGTTAATTCAAGAGAGGGTCAAGGTACTGAGAAAAATGCCTTACAGGAAGGAAGTCGTTTTTCAGTGAACGATTTTCAAATATAAAATAAATTGGATAAAAAGATTCCATAGTGCAAATTGGAACAAGTGTTTGGGCAAGAGGCACAGGATTACAAGCATAGAAGCATATTACGGTTCATCACTTTTTCTTGGCTTGTTTGGCTTTCATCACTTCTGGCGCTTTTTCTTTCCGTTACCAAAATAATAACGTCCGATGAATAAGCTGGGACTGAGTCTCCTTACTAAATATGAGGGAGATTTACTATGTAAAATCGCACTATTAATTGAATACTTTCATCTCCTTTAATTAATTACAAAAGGGTCATTAAACAATCTGTTTGATTTGTTTCAGCTGATAAATTGTTATCATTGCAAGGATAGCCAGATCTACATTATTCTACAAAACTGTAAAACCACGGTAAATTGCAAGTCTCCTCCTGTTTCGGCGATATGTTTTTGTCCATTGTAGTTGCGACTCGATTTCAGCGAGATACGACAAAACATATGGCAAGTTTCACCCTTCCCTAAAAGGTCGAATTTGTTGAAATGAGACCAAAGAATTCCGGGATGCCAAAGTAGTGCTGAAATGGGTTATTTTCAAGGCAGTTGTAACAGGTTGGGAAAGGGACGAAATTTTCTTTCCAACGAATGGTTGAAAAACGACCAGCCGGGTAACAGAGAAACTTTGAAAGTCTAACTCATGTCTAAAAGAGCAGCTTTGATAAACAGCACCGTATCTGAACAGAGTGCCGATTTAATGTGACATCTTCAGTCATAACATGTATTCAACTCGTTACTCCAAGGAGGATCTTGGACTGATGATATTCTTTGTGAGTTAAATCTTTTTTCACTTTTTAATTAAGGCCATTAAGACTCGTGAGAAAAAACGTTTACGTCAGGCTATCGTGTGAATTTTTAAAATAATATTAAAACAACAACATCCGAGAACCAATTGAGAATGAAAGGTCATGGGAAAACTCAAATATTTGATCTCGGGTAAATCCGAATGAAATCCTAACTTCAATATGGCTATCAATGTTTGAACCGGGGAAGAAAACGGTGGTTCACGAGTACTCACATCAAGTACAAAGAACTTTTAACACTTCCTAAGTTAGTAAAAGAAAATTGTCGCTTATACTTACTGTTAGAGGCCGAGCTAAATCTTGCCAAGCTTATCATACCACAGGTCAGATATATTGCCACGAAACGTCTCCCAACTTCAAACATGTCGATAGTCTTGCTTCGCGCTTCCTTCAAACTGATCTGTGATATCTGCTGTACACTTCAGGTTGTTGGGAAAAATCGAGAAACCACAAATCCACACAAAGTCCAGGGTTGGTTTCAACTCAGTTCCTGTTAGGAGTACAACTTCCCCTATAAGAATACAAAGCTGAGAAGGCGTGCGCTTGTAACTTGAGCAGACAATAAAACGCTAAAGA